AAGTATCATACTGACAATGTCTTGGGATGCTCTTACCATATTGTGCAATAGCAATAATCCCTGCTCTTTGACTGAATGCTTCTTGACAATGGAAGAGAAGAGACAAGCCATGGAAGAACATTGTAGACATGGATATTCAGTTTGCCACTTTTTTCCTGAATCAGGAAGACTGTAGTGTTCCCTAGGGACTCTGACCACAAATTGCCTGAATTTCTTAACTGTCTATGTTTGGTTTTGTTTTTTTTTTTTTCATGAGCATATGTGCAAAGGGTGAGGCTTCAATGATTTTTTAATGAGAAGATGGGATGACTGGTTTACCCTATAGGATACGCTCTTGTCATATAAATCTGCCAGAAATCTGAATGAATTTCTCCAAAGAAAATATTTTTTCAACAGAATAAGATTAGCAAAATTGTCTCCATCACTTTGGCTTTTAGACCCTGGCATTGAAATACACAATAAACATATGAGGGTAAATTGATGGAAGGAAATGGTATGGCCGCATTCCTTTGCAGTCTAGCTGTTATTGGAAACAGTCATGTAGTGGTATAAGGTACGTGGGGCAATTGGGTGCAAAGAATTTAGATAGCCTAAATTGACAATAATGTCACACCTGTGCTCCCATCGTCTTTGTTGTCAATTAGGTAACTATAAAGATCATCCTTTTGTGAGTCCGGTGTACTGTGAAATGCTAGTTCTTTAACCAAAACTAGAACACAGTAAAATAAACTTTCAAGAAATTAAAATGAAACCAAAATCTGACCATAAGTATAGAGTATGCTTGTGGGAAACAAGGGTGCCATGCTATGACAAAATACCCAAGAGATGCTTATCACTCTTGATTCAGCAGTATCCAGCATGCACAACCACATGCTGAGGTGGGCATGCAAAAAGACAGACACGCAAGAATCCACTTTAGGTAGCTGCAAAATAAAAAAGGCATTTCATTGGAACAACTATTTGATCTGCCAGAGTGGTTCAGGAATTGTAAATGTAAAGCAAGCTGGCAAATATTTCAGGGAAAACAGGGGAGGGGTGGTAAAACAGGAGTATGGCACAGGGGGAATAAAATAGAGGAGATCCAGTTAACTTAGAGAAGCATGTGCTGCACGCTAGAAGAGTGACCAACTTGTGTCCCTGAAATCCATCCACATGGGTGAGGATTTCAAACTCTCTAAGGGCAAAAGAATAGTTATGAAAATCAAGGTGAAGTTTTTTACTAAAATAGGACCTTTCCTCCTACCAATAAAATATAAAAATATGAATAAGAACACTAGAAATACTACTCTGAACAAAATTCAGGAATATGAAGTAAATTACTAAATACATGGAATAGACTATATCCATGAAACTAGACAAAAGAAAATCAGTGGCCTTCTGCGTCAGAAAGGCTATTTTGATATCAGTGTCAGTGGAATAGAGGTGCCAGTCAGAACTAATATATATTCAGCATCTCTTAAAAAACAAGCTTTCCTCTTCAGGTTTTAAATTTTAGAAGTAAAACTTGGAAGATTAACCCTGGAAGAAATGTATATTAATTCATTTACAGGCAGCCGAAAGGAGTACAAAGCAATTTGGACAGAGTCATTTGTTAATGCTGAGACAGTACTGCCCGTTCTTGGCTGAGAAACTGTAGTCCAGGGATAAATAAGATCAATTGTCACTTATCACATGCCTGTTAGACAGAAAGTGAAAAATATTCTCAAACTCCATACTTCATCAGATAAAATCAGAAAACCATTTTTTATACTGTAAACAGTAGAGCTCAAGAGGGCTATCTATAAATGTCTCAGTAGAATCCAGGGTAGGTCACGGTTGCAGTCATGATATTAATGAGATGGAGTTTTGGTTTAGCAAAACCTATCTGAGTTTATGGCTAAAACTCTACTGATATCTACTGGAGAGGGCTGAGAACCTCAGATACTTTTCTTTCGTAAAAACTAAAATAGAATTCTCAGAAGATAATTGATACTGATGTGATTATTACACTTTACAGGAGGATCCACATGAAATGAGTCAGTATTAGGGACAAATACTGGCAACAGAAACAGGAAAACCAGCTAATGATTCACGAAGCAGCTTAGCAAGTATTCTCCCTTCTATAGCTTCCTATGAATTCGTTGTGTACAGTTTACATACATTGCGTTCTTTTTTAAAAAGCTAAGACTGCAGTAACATGACAAAACTTTAAGTAAATGAAAAACGTTTCAGCCTCGGTTGTTAAAATCAACACAAGAGCATTAAGTGACCTCCAACAGATCGTTCAAGAGACTGTCAGAATGTATTAATTGATATTTTTTGAAAAGAGTGTCTAATTAATGAAACACAAGGATCTGAGTTTTAATTATTTGATGACTGTAAAATGCCATCTTAAATGGTCTACTTTGCTATAAATTCTTGCATAAAATTTATATAAACCTAAAATAATCTGTAGTTTCCAGTAATTAATATGATTTTTTCAGTAATACAAATATACCAAAAATATTGTCAAAGAATAAATACAGAATGGTATTGTTATTACTGAAATCACAAAGCCATATATTGTGCTTAAGGAATTTAATGAGTGGGACACTGTTCTTATAAACTCAAGAAGACAGAAATTCATGTTTGGTGTAAACAATCCTACAAAAAGCCAATATACCACGTGAAGGAATTTTCTATGAGAAAAATGTGCTTTTTCTCTTTCACAAATGGCAATATTGGGATTGACAGAAATGATTCCTGGTTTTAAAGTATTGTGGTGTCAGGGTGACTGTAATTAAATTCCTTAGCTGAATTGCACTCAGATGTCTTTGTTTAGACAATGTAATTTACCATAAAATATATAAACCGATGAAAGGATAAAATATAGCAGATTTTAAAGCTAATTAGATATTAGAGTTATTAAAGGGACTTAGTGTGCTGGTGTTTCCCCCACATTTATCTATTCAAGAAAATGAATTACAGTAATATTTCGGTTCACAAAGGCCAGTGTGAAACAAGCACATTGCCTGAGAAAGGCAGTAAAAAACATTAGCTGAGCAGTGTTTGGTGGCACTCTCCTCAATGATTTCTATAAAGAGCGCAGACCTGGGCGTACCTGGCCTTTACCTTGCTTCTTAGAGATATGGCCCGGATATTTCAGCATTGCCTTTCACAGCTTGCAGGTTGACTAAAGCTTGTTTTGAAGGCAATGTTTTACTTTATCTCCTACAAAAATGTATCAGGCTCCATCAAAACAACCATTCACAGCATTTGACTTCAGATGTTGACAAATGACTTAGTGGGTCAAAAAGCAGTTGCTTTACAGGCGGAGCCATGGGTGGAGTTTTGGAAAGCCAAGGTTAAGACCCTGCTTTACAACCTATTTCCACATTCTATGGCCTCAAGCAGTCACCCTAGCTGTTCACCTGTAAGGCCAGCTGACAAGCCAATGACCGTTGAACATTTTTCAGCTGTTAAAGCTGTGGTTTCTTAGCACAACTCTGTCATAGCACACTGAAATGACACAAGGCAAACATTGGGAGGCAGATAGTCATGTCTTTTATCTTCTGAAATTCAAGCCGCTACAGAATTCCCTATCTCCCTGCTCCCCTCCATGGTCTCTCCAGTTACCTCATAGCTGGAAAGGTCAAAACTGAAAAGCAATCTTCTCCAAAACTCCCTCCCCACAGCAAGTCTGCTCTGCCTTTGGAGAGTGTAAAAGAGCTCTGGAAAAAAAAAGGGCTCTGACATGTGTCAAGGCTGCTTGCAAAGTTCAAGAGAACTGTAAGAGATCTTGAAGATCTCCATGTGAATCTGTGTACAGCTGTGTAAAGCCAGAAACTGAGCGAATCACATCTGTTACGGGGGGTTACTTTTTAAATCATAGCATAGCTGAAGGTCTCTGGAAGGTTTTGTGAACCTTTCTCCCACTCTGATCCTAGACCTGTCCCTCTGTTGTTTTACTGGCTGTCTTTAGAAGTCCTGCAGGTGATATAACACACCTACAGGTGATATAACACTTTCCATTAAAATAATGGAATCCCCTATCTTCCCATGTCCCTCTTTGAGAACAGGCCATACAAACACTCTCCCTCCAAAATCCTAAGCTTGCTCATTTTCGCTCTGCAAAAATCTGTGTACTCCCTCTCACCATTTCGGGAGTCTCTGTTTCTCAGCTACATCCTTAGAACTTCCCTGCTCTTGCTGGACCTAGGCACGGCAAGAGAGGACCTAAGCCGCAAGGTAGAGATAAGAAAACACATCCAATTCAGAGTAGTATCAGTGGAAAGCTTCTTGAGCAAATAACTGACTAAACAAAGCTAGTAAGACTTAGCGTGTCCTTAAATATTCTGTCTTTGACTCTTTTCATAAATATCGTTGCTTATCGTTCCTAGGATTATGTCCTCTCTGTAGTATGTCCTTTTGCACTGGATTTCAGAATGAAGAGTGCCCACTAAATAAGGTCAAGGTAGGTTGACTTAATATTTTGAGATGATGCTCAGACATTATCAGTAGCTCTAGCTCCTCTTTTTTTGGCTAATAATTAAGTGTCTTTGTTAGAACAGATCGGCATGGAGATGTGGGAAGAGAGAAGATAAAGCACAGAAGCGACGGATCAACTAAGATATTTTATGTACTAGGAAAAACAATGGCCGTTCTATTTTTGAAGCATTCTGGGGTTAAGGCTTGCTATTTGTGTGGGAAAAAAGAAAGAACAATAAGCTGTTAACAATAAGCTCCTTTCTCTTGCATCTCAGCCAAAAAAAGCATTGACTATTTTAGCAATTTCTGTAGCCTTCCATTGACTCTACTTTTAACATAACCTTAATTTTAATTCATGCATCACAGACAGAAAATTAAAAGCTTTAATAATACAGCCATTAGCTCTTATGCTTTATTAAAACTATTTGCACACACTTTGTTGCACTTGTGAGACCTTTCAACAATACAAAACACACTTTTAATACATAAAGGAGCAGAAACTCTCAGGGAAACAAGAGAATATTAGAACAGAGTTCCATGATGTAGGAAAGTACCTGGATAAAAATCCCCTTGCGCAAACATGTCAATCACATAGCGACAGAATGCATATTGATCTAACAGAGCAAAAAGGAAAAAAAGAGTAATGAAGAAGGTAAAGTTAAAATGGTTTGGTTTTTTTGTTTGTTTTTTTTTTTCTATTTAACAGTGAAGACAAAACTTGGCAGTGCAGAAAAACATTTCAGGGATAGTCTTACTTATATGTTTGGGGTATTTTCGTGGCCTTGAAATAATTCACATGTTCAGGAAGAGGCAATTTCTTGTCCAGGTCTAATTCAAGCCACACAGCCAAGAATTTTAGAGCTACCGCTGCTACAGAGGTACCAACTGTTCTGGGTTGGCAGGGCACAGTGTGTGCCCCAGGTCAGCAGTGCCCAGCCATGGATTTGGCACACGTCCTGAACCCCCCCACAGGTACTGTACAAACTGCTGCCTGGCCACACGTCCCAAAGACTTTTTCTTATCCTTGAAGATCCATTTCAAACAGTCGCAGCCAGGTGATGGAAAAATTCAATAAAGTTTTATATTGCAGTATTTTGTTAGTGTTGTTTTAATAGTATAATCAATGTGTACATTTAGCGAATGAGAATATAAAGAGAACTCTGTGTACTTACACTCCTGTACCAGTGAGTTTTTCCACGGAATTCTATCGTTTCACTACACAATTATATTCCAAACACTAATCTTTACAAATATTTATATACACGTATATATTAAATCTGGAGACATATATATATTAAAACTGTGCTATTCAGAAATTAAGGCTTCCGAAACTAAATGAAACTCAGATTTCAGAAATGTTGATTATCTATTGATTTCTCCTGTACATAAGAAGAGTTGAAGACCTTAATAAAAATTTCTAATGCTAAGAATGGTGAAGAAAAGTTAGCATTTGTAAGTCGGTGCAAAAGAATTGCAATATTATTGCTGAATTCTCCAGGTGGCCGGAAAAAAAGCATGTTGCCCCACTGGACTTTAAGGGACATCGTTAGCTCTGAAAATCAGAGGTTGATGACTAAATGCCAACTCTGGTTAGCTAACTTAGTTCCCAACTGTCCTTGAATTAAACATATTCATCCATCTGTGCTAGACTGTTCTAGCACAGTTCCTCGGCTACAGAAGCTACATCTCTTCTCTCTCCGACTCCTATTGCATCTCTCTCCTGTTCACCTACAAAGCCACTTTCTCTTTGCCAACTTCAAAACAAAATTATGCAAACTTTGGAATACTTAAAACTTAAAAAATGGCATAACTGTTATATTTAAATGCAAAATGCCATTCCCAAGTATGTAACACTCATTGTATTATTTGCTTTCTTACATAGTTCACTGGAGCATCAGTATTAGTTGGTGCTGAGGCATTTATGTGGTTGCTGCTCTATTACATTGACTGCCGTAGAAGTCCTGGGGTGGAGAACATGATTTCCTATGTAGTTATAGAAATGAGGAAAGGGTTTACAAGCTCAGCAAATATCCAATTGTTTCTACTAATCGATAGGAACCCATACAGCTATTTCTTGTTACTGAGATGACGAGAGTAATACTAGTCAGTATTGTAGAACCTGGGGCAAATCTTTCAGGATGTACACAGGGCTGTGGCCATAAACACTGCTTTTAAAACCTTTAATGAATATTCATAATAATTTCTACTTTTCTATTTAGGAATTCAAATTTGTCATTCTGGCTGGCTCCAGCTTTGGATTCCATCCTTAAGGAATCTCAAGGGTTTGGCTGCAATATCTGCCCTAAGACTATGTGCTAATTTTCTGAAAAAAATAGCAGTGTATGTGTGAGAAAACAAGTATGTACAAATCTGTACTCTCAGTAAGACCATCTAAAGTCACTGAAGTCAGCAAAGTGTTTCCACTGACTTCAATGCAGTTGCAAATGGGGCCTCAGTGAGGCAGTCTGTATTCATAATTAAAATAGACCACTGCCAATTCTTTAGCCCAGTAAGCAAATGGCAGGGCTGCCCACAGAGCTGAGGTTTTTTTACCCCTCTTTTGCCAAAACAAGCTGCCTTCATCCGTGCTGCCCATTGGGAAGAGCCCCTGGACTGTATTGGGCATTGTACGGAAGACTGCTAGATGGCAGGGGACAAAACTGTGTTGGGGACACAAGCTGTATGGACAATCACAGGACAGAGCACAATCCTATGATGGTTCTATTTAGGTTATGATATAGACATAGCCTGAGGGCCTAGCAACTCACACCATTTCATTGATATTAAAATAATCAATTTTTTAAACATAGCAATATAGACCAGAATTAAAATGGACTTCGGGTGTTTCTGTTATTGGGATTTTCTTGGTTGGTTTGGTTTTGGAGTTGGCTGGTTTGGTTGGTTGGTTGGTTGGGTTTGGGTTTTTTTTTGGTGGAAATTTAATTTGAATAAAATTAAAAAAAAAAAAAGCTTTAATCTTGGTTGAAGTTGAGAAGAAAGATTTTGTATTAATCTTCTCATAGGATCTCTTTAGTAACTCAACCCCTGAAAACTGGGATTTATAAGAAAAAAAGAAGGCAAAATGTTAAACTATGATAAATAAGAATAGCATTTCTACTGTATATGAAATAACAAGGTGCACAGTAAAATCCCATTGAAGTTCATGGGAATTCTGCCAATCAGCAAAGATTGAAACCTAAGGAATTTTAAATTAATACGATTTTCCAAATGTCTTTCCATGGCTAAAAATTCATATTAGTTTAAACTCTCCTGTTAAAAAGAGAAATTCACAGTATAGTTTTCACCTTATAACTCTGTAATAGTGGCACAGATATTCATCCCATACTAATAAATCATGTCAACATTTGGGACTAGATTCTTACTGATAAAAACTGTCATAGATATTTCTGTCATTGGATCTCATCTGATTTACCCTAGGAAATGACCTATCTTTTTAAATTTTAATTTCAGTAAGGAATGATGCAACAGCAGGGACATCGTAACAACCCTTCTGTGATTACTGTTACATTTTTTACATCGCTGCAGAAAAGCTGGCAGAACTACTCCCTTGAGCATGGAAAAGTAAGGATTGCAGGATCAGGAAGTCTTGGCAAAACCATATTGACTTCAAAATTATGTTCACCTTGGGTCACAGTGGGACCGAAATATAGAACTGAATTTTCTGAGAGCATCTAGCTGGGCAGCAGCAGCTTCTGGTGGAAAAAGGAAGGGCGAAAGTAGAAAAGGCATCTTTCACTGAACGCGTGCAGCCCTATCTCCAGTGATAAGGGCAGTTTAAGAGACCCCTTCCTTCCTTCTCTCCAGCTGCTCATTACCACTTTCACCTGCCATGGTTCAGTACACAGTCACTGTGGTCGCACTCTAATGAAGACTTACAAAGTGATCTGTTAATGTTTAATGTTAAGATGGATCACTTTGCTAATATTTGTCAGTTAAAGCGGTGGTGGTGGTGGGGAACCCACAAAAAAAAAATGCAAAGAAAGAGAAAAACCACCATCACTCTCTATGGCTCTCTGTAATCTTTGACCCCTACTTACTTAAAATATTTTCCTGTCAGGGAGTAAAGTTCCTCATCTGCACACCATTGCTTTTTGAGAACCTTATCCTGAACAGTGTGGAGTGGATCCCACTGTGCACAGATACTCTGTCAGAGCAAACAAAAACTGAAAGAGATTTGCATGTCGCAAGAGGAGCTCAACAATTTACTGAACTTTCCCCTTGGTCACAGCAAT